TTATATCTTTTGCATAATAAGAACGTATTTATATGATAGAATTTTATTCATATGTTTTTTTTTTTTTTTCCTTCCAGTTGTTGTATAATTTTATTCATGAAAGTATGCTAAACATATTAACTGTTAAAATTTATACTTTTTTGTTATTATAAATATTTTATTATTTACTTTGTTTTACATAGATATATATATATATATATGAAAATGTAAAGACGGTAATTAAATAAAGTAGTTAATAAAAAAAATAAAAACTAAAAAAAAAATCACTTTTTAAATTCTAATATGCACCGGGCTTTTTTTTTTTTTTTTTTTTTTTTTTTATAACATTAAAAAACAAAGGCTTACCGGGACAATACCCTCAAAATAGCTTATAACCATAAAAACAAAAAAAAAAACAAAAAACAAAAAACAAAATGTGAAGTTCTACTTTCTAATATTCATAAGCAGACAAAAAATGTCATTTACTAATTAAGAGTCACTGAATCTACTGTTTCATCTTTCTTCTACAACATATAGGATAAATAATGAATAAATTAATGATTATTAAGTAATTAATTATTATGAAGAAATATTTATCACACACGCGTGAGAGGTTTTAGTAACTAAATAAATGATTGAATTTGTTATCTGAAAAGTTCATCAAGCAATATATATTTATAATGTCCGTGTCATAAGACAAAATAAAAATCTAGTATGTACTATAATAATATTTGAAGTACCACAGCGCTAACAAAACCTCCCAACCATGAAAAATAGGCAAAATACCTTAATTTTTTTTTTTAATAAAATAAAAAAAATCATTTACAACGAATGTGGGACCACATAAAGTGATCTTATATAACAAAATCAATCAATTGTTGAGCTCATCTTCAAAAGTGAATCACATACCGACTTTAACAAAAAAAAAAAAAAAACACAACCTTAAATTACCCGTGGAACATACTGTAGTTTTTATAACCCCAAAATCTTAAAAAGAAAAATGTTCCTCTTATGCACCTACATATTTCACAACAACTTACTTGAAAACAATTGAGTTTGATTCTAGTATAGCTATTCAAGGAGAGAAACAATAATATTATACACGAGATGTTTCATCTAGAATCTGCTAGTCTCTTTTCGGTCAGACATATTTTCTAGAAGAAGACCGAGCCGAAAGTACTCAGGTAGATACATTGGCTTTGTTTCCAGCAAGGATGAGAGAAATCTCCAGTCCACGACTAAATGCCTGGTTGAAAAGAAGCCGTGACTGGAAGGTGGAAACAAATGGGAACCATGATAATAATGCAATAGGGGAAAAGATGATTACACCCATTCCAGCATCATACATTCGGGCAAACTCCCTAACCGAATCCCACATTCCCAGACTCCAGATCACCTTCTTCCATGTAATAGCAAGCTGTCAAAACATTGCAGAAAGTATTAGAAAGTTACAAATTAAACAAAAAATTGCAACTTCAAGTCTAATCACAATAGCATATACAATAGAGATAGCAATTATGAATAGTAGGGATATATGGCCAAAATTCCCACTTGAAATCTTCTAATAAAAACACTTGTTTTAATACATGGAAAAGAACTTAAAGAACCAAGAACATCTTATTGCATATCGTCAGCAAAAAACAATAAGGCAAATAGGCATCTCCAGCCAATTTGCATATAACTAATGGAATCATAAAACAATATCACCTGCCTCAGTTTCCTCCTCTTCGGTTAAAAGAAACATAGCAGTCAGAAGTGTAAGAAAAGTGAGAAGTGACCAAAAATGCATCGTGTAAATAAATAAATAAATAACTGTTTTTTTTTTTTTTGGAAATTAAATGACAATAAGATGACAAAGGACTAGTTGCTATTTTTGAAAAATAATAAATATAATTCTAATTGTACCTACATCAAGGATCCTCATAAAAATTATCTTTTCTTGACAGCAACTGCCATTAGTTGTATGCAAGTAACAATAATTTCTTTAATCATTCTTACAGGGAAAAAACACCAAAAAAAAAAAGAAAAAAAAAAACCTCAGTTATGAATAATCTTTATTTTTTGCCTTCTTGCAAAAAAAAAAAAAAATTCGGGAGCATTTCGTTTTCCTTCTCACATTTACCTACATTTACAGTCTTGAGCAGAAAGTGCTGAATGTAACTTACACATATTATCATCCATCCAGTAGGTATGAAAGCAAGAATGCTTGCAAAAAGGTCGGCAATTGACAAATTTGTGAATACAACAACAAGTGCAATGGCAGCAACAAGTCCTAGTGATATTACTCCTTGCATGAATCTCATCACTAGTTGCAAATTAGTTGATTTTTTTGGAGTGTAGGAAAATATCTGCAAGCCATAAGAAAATTCAAAGTGCATCAGAGAGAAATTAGCAAACACAAGGCACTCACAACAGAAATTTCAAAGTGTATCAGGGAGAAAATTAGTGCAGACAGCGGAATCTCAACAAAATTTTGAACTGACAAACCTTGAAAAGCATGACAATGGCCACCAGTACAACCCAGGAGAAACCATAAATCTGTAAAGCAAAAAGAACATCAAAATCAGGTGTATAACACATAATTTGAACAAACTACAAAAATAGTTTTTTAAAAATGCACTTGTAATAGCTGTGCAATAAAAGCCATTTGCAGAAACAACTGTTTCAAGTTTATTCTATTCTCCTTAGACCATGCCAAACAGACCACACTGTATTCTGAATTTATATTATTTTTTCCACCACGAATTGCAACTAACTCAGAAAAAGGATGATCAGCATCCAGGAGAATTATACTTGGCAACTAAAAATGCCGACAATTTAAGATATTGCCTGATAATTTAGATGTCTAGCAAGACCATGCCAAACAGACCACACTGTATTCTGAATTTATATTATTTTTTCCACCATGAATTGCTACTAACTCAGAAAAAGGATGATCAGTATCCCGGAGATTATACTTGCCAACTAAAAAAGCCAACAACTTAAGATATTGCCTGATAATTTGGATGTCTAGCAGTACGACATCGTAATACTCTGTAGCCCATGACTGTCATAAGATGCGGAACTTAAAAGGCCTTCGATATCTTGGGATGTTGCCCGACAATTAGGTTGTCTAAGACTAACAGTAAGTTTTATAATCGTACTTTCTAGTCAAGAAACACCCTCAGATATGCCTGATTGAGTTTTAACAGATCCAAAAAGCATGCAAGGCATAAAATAAAATAAGAATTCAAGACAATGTACCGCCAATGATGTATCATCCTCAGTGAGATGGAGTTTGTAGACAATGCCATATTGAAAAATGAGGAACCTCAAGCTTAATATGGTTTCCAATACACGGCCTCTCAATGTTTGGATGTGCATCTGCAAGAAAAGGGAAGTTAGCAGGCAAATATGCTAAGGTATGCGCTCACATAAAAATTGCTTGCAGAACAGGATGGATGTAAAGGAAATAGGTTATTGTATGCATGACAAACATATTTCAGAAGAAATAACTCTTCTACAACTCCAATGGCATAAGAAAGACGTCAGGAAAAAAATAAAATAACTGCAACCTCCCTTTTTTTAGGGGGAAGGAATAAGAGAAAACATACCATTAGAAAAAGAAATCAACTACCAAAAGGAAGGATAAGATATCCTCCCACAGGTGCAGAGGGAAGGGCAAACCATGAGCTTTAGCTCATAATGAAGCACAAACACTTTTTTTTTTTTTTTCCCTTTTCCTGTTCCATCATGATCAATGTTTCTGGATTACCATGTACACATGCAGACCAAGAATAACAGAAATACCTTTAGGCCAAGAACACCTACCTTGAAACCCAGGCCAAACTTTGGATCACAGAAAGAAACAAAGATACCTAGATGACAGGAAATGAATAGGATCTTGCTAATTCCCCTTGAGAAAAGCAGCAGGTTGGTGAAGACATTCATTAGTTTTCTATTTGTATAATAATATTCCTATTTATTAGTTTTATAAGGTCGTTTAGTATCTTGTTTATTTTAGTATTTCCTAGTCTATTTGGGCAACTTATTTAACGTTCTATAAGTTTCATCACTATGAAATTAGATAGGAATTGTGGGTGAAAATAATTGATCAATTTCATCTATGCTGGGCAACTTGTACCATGGTTCGATAGCTTGATGAATCTGTGTATTCAAGGGGCAGGGGTTAGGAAGATGGTGAGACCCTTGTAATAGAGTGCAATTTAAGGAAATTTGAGGATCTTGTTCATCTTTTCAAGAGCTATGGGAGAGGGTGACATTCTTGGCCTCCTTACGGGCCAAAGCTCAAGGGAACTTTTCTGTTTTAGTGGTTTTTAAGCTCCACCATTTGTTTGGGTTCATGTTCTACAATAAATTATTTCTTCTTGTTTATGACTCATTCTCAGCATTTATATTCTTTTCTATCTTATACTAATAATATTTCTTTTTCTATAGAAAAAACATTCGATATATACTTTTATAACCTCTTTGTAATCAGCATTCAATTATTCGATAAAATATTTTGAAAGTTTCTCAATTTTAGTTTTGTGACACAATCAAACCCTTCTACCACTTAAGGTTTCGATATCTAAAACCCTATGTGTGATATCTAAATTTTATTCCCAAATTCCCATGTGGCAAACTAACCCTACTTTCTCTTACAGCATTGGGGGATCACTTGGGGTAGGATCCTAATCATTGATAACTCGATGAGAAGGGATAGACCAAGGTTGCTTTTTGTGTCTTTTAAGGGAATGAATCCCTTAGCCATCTTCTAATTTGATATTTGGAACTAGAATGCATGTGATTATGCTCTAAATTTACTTCACATCAATTGGGTAGTTAGTGGTTCAATTATGATTGAGAACAAACTAGGTTTATTTGCTAACTTAGGAATTTAGGATAAATTTAGATATTCTTTGATATAACACCAAGTTTTCTGTTCATAGAAAAAGAAAAAAAAAAAACAGACAGAAGTTGACTTGCGAACCCTTAAGCATCATTCCTAAAGCATGAATTTCGTAGAGTATCAAATTTAAGATTTGGCTACATCATGCAACCAAGATACTGAAAGAAATCTCATGATAAACCAAGATACTGAAAAAGCCGTGGGATAATTTATTAACTCAAAAGTTTGATTCCAAAAGTGACGTTATATAGGTAATTGTTATTCTTAACTCTAAAACCCTAAACTAACTATATAAGTATTTTATAAATACAAGAATTGAAACTATAACCAAAAACTAAGTAATAGATGCTGAAGTAATAACAATTTTAGAATTGAAGGAACGTAAGTTCCAATCTACTTGAAAAGTATAGGATCAAACCAGTCTTCATGTTAAGGATGAGCTGTGGGCAAGGAGCAATTCATGTGTGGCCAGGTCCAAGAAGAAGCTTGTAAAATTGTATCCGTTATTCTCCTTACAACACTTTTTGGGTCCAAAAAGAGAAAACAAGGCCCTTCCCAAACTCCAGTACTCTATATTGGCTTTGGACCCTTTGTATTTTTCTATATAGGGTTTTAGACTTCAGAACTCATTGATATTTTATTTTTGCCTTATTCTGTGCATGAGTTGGCACCACTTTGCCACTGT